AGGCGAAAGACGCAACTATATGCAGTTGTGGGTACCGCGTTGTAAGTACTGCTTCTGGTGGAGCTCCTTATGAGGCCACGAAACGCGCGAGGGTTGTACCGTAATGGGCGGGGGGGGCGCATGCGACCGTGGCTTCTGGGGTCTTCGGTGGAGCTCCCTATGGGGCCACGAAGCGCTATACTAGATGGGGGAAACACGCGGCGGCGTACAGTGGGGCCATCGGTGGAGCTCCATGCGGGGGCACGAAGCGCTTCACTGGGTGGGGGAGGCGCATGCGGCCGCAGCATTGAAGTCTTCGGTGGAACTGCTCCCCATGAGGCCACGAAGCGTGTGTTGGGTCGGAGGAGTTCCCAGGGGCGGGGCGGAGGCATGAGACGCTGTGTCGCTGTGTTGGGCGGGGGGTACACGTGCGAACGTCGCCTCTGGGGCCTTCGGTGGAGCCCCCATATGGGGCCACGGAGCGCTCTATTGGGGGTGGTGGGAGGACGCACGCGAACCACGCCACTGGGGCCTCTGGTGGAGCCCTCTATGGGGGCACGAAGCGGATGTAACGAGATGGCCGGCATGCGGCGGGCGGAGGCAGGAACGGGATGGGGGAGGAAGGGGGATGAGGAATAAGGAAGGAGACGCGGGGCGCTGTCTCTTAAAACGAAAACCCAAACACCACAGGATCAGGATGGTTGGGACAAATATCGTGGCGAAGGACCCAACCACATGCTGGTAATGCAAGACAGGCGGGACGAAAGAGGGGCAACTCTTTAGAGGGCTACGAATCGTCTGAGACGGGGTGCCGCAATTGGCGCCCTGGCGACATGCGAATCCTGCCGCCGGGGTTTTCGGGTGGGCTCCCTATGGGGCCACGAATCGCGTGAGGGGGTGGTCCAAAATGGGCGCCTTGGCGCCATGCGAACCCTGTCACTTGGGTCGTCGGTGGAGTCCCCTATGGAGCCACGAGACGTGTGCGCGGTGGCGCCGCGCGAACCCTGGCACTGGGCTTCCTTATGGGGCCACGAAACGTTTGTAGGGTGTGCCGACACGGATGCGGTGGCGCTGTGCGAACCTTGCTGCTGCGGCTGGCCCTCGGTGGAGCTCCCTATGGGGCCACGGCACGTGGGTTAGGGGGTTGCCGAAATTGGTGCGGTAGCGCCACGCGAATCCTGCCATTGAGGACTTCAGTGGAGCCTTTGCAAGGCCACGATACGTGTGATGGGATGTGCCGAAATGGGCACGGTGGCACCATGCTCGCCCTGTCACTGGGGCCTTCGGTGAAGCTCCCCATGGGTCCACAAAGCGTATGAGGGGTGTGCCGGAATTGATACGGTGGCGCCGTGCGAACTGTGCCACTGGGGCTTCCAGTGAGCCATCTTTTATCGGGCCACAAAACGTATGAAGGGGGTGCCGAAATGGGCACGGTAGCGCCATGCTGCGGCCCTCAGTGGAGCTCCCTATGGGGCCACGAAGCGTGTGTGAGGGGGGTGCCGAAGTTGGTGCGGTGGCGCCACGCGAACCCTTCCATTGATGACTTAGGTGGAGCCTCTCTGTAAGGCCACGAAGCTGTGCCGAGATCGCCACGGTGGCCTCATGCTCACCCTGTAACTGGGGACTTCGGTGGAGCTCAGCATGGGGCCACGAAGCGTACGGGGGGGGGGTGCCGAAATGGGCACGGTGGCGCCGTGCGAACCGTGCCCTTGGGCCCTCCGGTTGGGCTCCGTCTGGGGCCACGAAACGTCTGAGGGGTGTGCCGGAAAGGGCACGGTGGCGTCACGCGCACCCTGCCATTCGGGCCTTCGGTAGGGATCCCCATGGGGCCAAGACGCGCGTGAGGGATTAATCGGCATTTGTGCGGTGGCGCCATGCGAATCCTGCTACCGTGGCCTTCGGTGGGGCTCTGTATTGGGCCACGAAACATGTGAGCGGTCTGCCGAAGATGGGCGCGGTGGCGCCATGCGAACCCTGCCGCTGGGGCCTTCGGTGGAGCTCCCCATGGGGCCACGAAACGCGTGAGAGGGGTGCCGCGATGAGTGCGGTGGCGCCATCCTTCTCACTGGGGCATTCGGCAGAGCTCTCTGTTGGGCCAGTAGTTACGCGTGTGAGGGGTGTGCCGAAATGGATGCGTTGGCGCCATGCGAACCGTGCCATTGGGGCCTTCAGTGGAGCCCCCTGTGGGGACGCAAAACGTGTGATGGGTGTGCCGGAGCAGGCGCATGGAGGGCAGAGGCAAAGATGGGAGGAGGTGGCAGCGGGAGGAGGTGAGACGCGGGGCGCTGTGACTTCAAAACGAGGACCCAACACCACAGGATGGTCGGGAAAAACATCATCGGGGTCCATCGTGTCTGTGAGGGTTACGGGTGGGTTGAGCCCATGGTCTGCGTATGGTGTGCACCCTGTCCCTGGGGTATTACCCTCTTGCGCTCGTTATGCCTCGAAGTATACCAGCTTTAGTGAAGCCGTTGTGGCCCATGCATTCGTAGAGCGCGCCCTGCAGGAGCGCGAAGGGCCCATGGGCGATAGCGCCTCGAGGAGCTTCCAGGCTTGCTGTGACCCCGAGGGGACCGCGAACATCGTGAGGAAGAAGAAGGCGCAGCGAGCGTGCCTCAACAGGTACCAGGAGATCCTGAACCAGCTGGAGCAGGCACTCCAGGGCTCAGACCGCGACTGGATCCGAGACACCGTGCAGGACTTGAGCAAGTACGACCAGGAGGTGCAGGCGAAGGGCGAGGGGCAGTTCTGGCCAGAGCTGCAGGAGCACAAGGACTACCCCCCGATCGACGAGCTCCGGAGTCGCCTGATGGACCAGGCACGGGCGCAGGGAGCCGCCTGAAGCAGGGGAGACGATCCTGCAGTCTGTGCCGCCCCTCGTCCTCGGGCCCAGGCGGCATGCCTTGAGTCGGAGGGGCTCGATGCAGACCTGCGTCGCTTGGCCGGCCCAGGGAGCCACCAAGCTCGGCGAGCGAGTGCTCGCCCACGAAGGGCAGGGGTCTTGAGGGAAACGGGTCCTGTGTTCTCCCCTCCTCTTCCTCCTCCTCATTTTCCTTCTCGTCCTCCTCGTCCTCCTCCCTCCTCCTCCTCCTCCTCCTTCTCCTCCTCCTCCTCCTCCTCCTCCTCCGCGTTCGGGCTCCTGGGGCTCTTCAGGGGGAGCTCGGCGAGCGAGTTCGGTATCACAGGCGGTTCGGCATCCCACCGCTTGTGGAGCCTGGGGCGACTGCACACCGAGCACCCTGGCCCACCAGGCGGCTCGGCGAGTACCTCAAGCCCCTGCCGTCGGAGGTTGAGGCTGCCGGGCCTCCCAGCGCTGCAGCTTTTCAAGCAAGGATGGGCTCGTGCTGGGCTGAATCGGCTCGTGGCATTGCGGTTAGAGTATTGCTTTTCCATCGTTCCAGGTGGGGCGTACGTCCGATACCGTATCGGACTTGTGAGACGCACTACTTCTGCTCGATGTCCTGCTTCACTATTTCACGTTACCCAGTGCATTGTTTCGAATTCGCAGCCTGGGCCGAAGATAGCACTGGGCCAGCATAGCTGCGCTCAGCTTCAGCGCTGCGATCTTGCAAAACAGGGAAGGGGAGAAGGAGGGGATGGCGAGGAGGAGATGGATGATGATGATGATGATGATGATGATGCTGATGATGATGATGATGATGATGATGATGATGATGATGATGATGATGATGATGATGATGATGATGATGATGATGTCAGTTTGCATCCTTTCCCATCCCTCCCTCTCTGCCTCTCTCTCTCTCTCTCGCTCTCTCCTCTGTATCTCTCTCTCTCTCTTTGTTGTTGTTTCGGTGTGTGTGTGTCTCTCTCTCTCTCTCTCTCTCTCTCTCTCTCTTTATATATATATATATCGGTACACATACATATATATATATACACACAGGAATACCCCAACCGGTGCTTGCACTGAAGAGGTTCCAGAGGATTTTGAAAGAGTTTGCAAACGTTGCAGGCCGATTTCGGTGTCCGCCTGGGTTCCCACAGTTCTTGGTTCTGGGTTCCCGGGCTCCCAGTTGTTGCTAGTTCCCGATCGATTTCGGTGGGCGGCGCAGCGCGCGGTTCCCGGGTTCTTGGGTTCCTTGTCGATCGCTTTTATCGATGTTTGTATCGATTTCACGATCGAACTTACTATCGATCTCACGATCGATCTCATCGTCCATCCTATTCAATCGAGCTCACTACCGATTCCATGTTCGATCTTCCTATCGACCTCACGATCACTATCGCTATCGTCAGATCATGGATCTCACTCAATCGTTCGGTCTCACCGTCGATCTCACTACCGACCGATCTATCGATCTTACCATTGATCGGACTCTCGATCTCATTATCGAAAACACCACCGATCTCCATTAGGTCGCACGATCGGTCTCGCGATCGATCTCACTGTACTTCAATATCGTTTCCAGTATCGACCTAAGTATCGTCCTCACAATTGACCTCAGTTCTGATCCTACGATCGATCTCACAATCGATCTTATTATCCATCTCACGATCGAACTCACTGTCGATCTTTTGCCCTCACTATCGATCCCACGATCCAACTACGGGACACCACCGGCCGACTTTGGGATACAACGCTACATTTACATCTATGCATACATACATGTATATAAATATATATATATATATACATGCACACGTAGAGGTTCCATAAGTACATATGTGCATGCATGCTTTCAACTATGTCATGTGTACATGCGACCAGCGAGCACACAGTCAAGCGAATATGCATTTCCCAAAAATCAGCGATATCACTGAAGGGGTCCTAGCGGACGTTGAAAGATTTGGCGGAAGTTCGGGCCGATTTCGGTCGGCGACTTGATTCCCGGTCTCCAGGTTCCTGGTATCCCGGTTGTTGGTTGTGCGCCGATGTTGGCGGGTTGCGGGGCTCCCGGGTTTAAGGGTTCCCGGTCGATCTCTTTATCGATGTCTTTATCCTTTTCACGATCGACAGTGATCCATCCCTTTCAGTCGACTTCACGATTGATCCCACGATCGACAGTGAAGAAGTAATTAGACAAACGCCCACCCTAGCCCAGCACGGCGACTTTACAAATCGGGTCCACCCCCGCTTTGGCCTGCCAGCCCAGCACACCCCAGCCCAACACGGCGACTTTACAAAGTGGGGTCCCGATGGCTTTGCCCAGCCAACCCGGCCCACCCCGGCCCACCCCAGCCCACCACGGCCACTTAACAAAATGGGGTCCCCTTGGCGTTAACCGACCAATCCCGCACACCCAAGCCCACCACAGCGACTTAGCCAAATGGGGTTTCCCTGGCTTTAGCCGACCAGCCCAGGCACCCCAGTCCGCACAACGTTCTAACACAGTGGAGGAGGATGAGGAGGAGGAATATCAGCATGGGGAGGAGGAATGGAGGAGAAGGAGGAGGAGGAGGGAGGAGAAGGAAGGAAAAGATGGAAGCTGACGAGGATAGAGGAGGGAGAAAGCTCAGAGCACCCCCAGAGGAAATGCTAAACGCCGCCCACTCCGGCCCAAGCGGGCGAATTAACAAAATGGGGTCCCCTGCAGCTGGCCAGCCTGGCCCACCCCAGCCCAGCACGGCGACTCAACTCCAGGGGGTCCCCCTGGCGTTAGCCGTTCCACCCGGCCCGCCCCAGCCCAGCACGGAGACTCAACACAATGGGGCCCCCCTGGCTTTAACCGACCAGCCCGGTCCACCCCAGTCCAGCACAGCGTTTTCACAATGGAGGAGGATAAGGAGGGGAAGCAGGGACGTGTTGAGCCGTCGACGGGCCCTCTGAAGCCGTCTATCTTGGAGGCCTCTTCCGCCGTGTAGAACCGACGCATGCCACAATCTTTTTAGAACTTACAAAGAATCAGTATTTAGGGCCGCTTTGGGCCCTGCGGCGAAACTGCGGCCAGGCATGTTGCCTGCCAAATATCCGAACCACCCACTGATTGAGTTTTTTTTTTTATCGGGTGTAATATCCTGTCTTCCTACATGTACGTGTGTCTCGTTGTTTTATCTTGTTGTGGTTTCCTCTCTCTCTCTCTCCCTCTCTCTCTCTGACTCTCTTCTCTCTCTTTCCATCTCCAGCCGCCCAAGCGAGTCCCACGGAGGTTTCGAAAGCTCGCCGCAGGGTTCCCCACGGGGGGCTCACGCTCTAAGAGGCCAGCAAGTCGGCTGCAGCGTGGAAGGCAGGCCGAGGAACACTTCGAGATGCCGCCAGTAGGGCCCCAGAGAGTCCTCCTGGAGGATCGAGTGGGAGCGAGCACAGTTGAACGCTGTACTGTTTCGCACCTGACAGGTCAGGGTCGGTGGATTTTAGAAACAGGACTCCCGACCCGCACACCCTGCATACCGCGGCCGCCAAACCCAAAGGTCCATCGAGAATCCCCCGAGACCACCTCCTCGCGACGACCCGCCCACTCTGCATACCGGTGGCCGCCAGATTCCCAGGTCCACCGAGAATCCCCCGAGACCCCCGCCTCGCCCCTTCGTCGAACAGGATAGATTATCACATATATGAGCATAACACCACTCATCCTTGAATAAGACCATATATCACAATGTAACATAACATAATAGAGCTGAGCAGATCAACACCCATAAGACACTACCAGAGCACACCATAACAGCATTGCGTAACAATCAGTGCATTCCAAGACAAAGGTAGGCCATGACAGAGCACGGCATCATCTGTTTTAGTCGAAAAGAGCACAGCGCATAACATACCATCACATGACAGAGACGATCATAACACAACTCAGCATGACAACGCATGCAATGGCATGGTGGATCATACAGAGCATGCCAAAACACCGAAACCGTAACATACCATAGCATAGCATACCATAACGTAGCACACGCTCACATACCAGATCATGTCTTAATACATATTTGCATCACCTGCTATGCGTACCATGAGAACGCATATCATGACAGCGTGGGACATAACATATCTTACAGTAACAAAACAGATCAGACCAGTGTACCATAATGCAGAAGAGCGCTGCACAGCAGCGCATGGCGCAACATACAAAACCATTCAGCACCAGAACAACGCATGTATCGATATAACGGGACATACATAACATACCACAGCGTCGCACATCGTCAATTTGCATAATTGGGCATGTACGATATCATGACATAGCACAGCATAGCGTAACCGTAACATGGCATACCATAGCATATCACAAACACAGCATCACATCACATAGCATCCCACACCGCTGACAATACATACCATCGCAGAGCGTGACGGCACATATTATGAAACAGCATCGGGTAATCTAAAAAAAAACCGAGCAGACCAGTACACGTCATGGCGGATCAGAGCATCACATATCGCAGTATCGAGCATACCTTCTCATAACAACGCATATCATGCCACAGTGGACAACCGACGAACATGGCATGCCCCATCAACCCAGATCATACAATACAGTGTTGCATACTGTTACGGCGACGGTAGCGACTGTATCACAACATCACAGGCTTCATCAAATTGCCGGAGAAATTCTGACACCACAGAACATCGCATCATATGAACAGATAATTCTGAACATGTCACAACGTATCCAACATATCTTGCCAGCACAGTTGCATTACTGCTGCAACTCCGGAAGTGAGGTTGATATAGAAAAGCAGGAACAATAGCCTCCTGTGAGAGGTATGCCATTCTAGAGCCGACTTTCTGCACAGTATTGCACTGACCATCGCGTAAACAACATCACAGACCATACCATACCATGACATAATCTGACATAACGTATCATGTCGTAGCGTGGTGTCGCAGAGCAGATCGTACACTGGCATCATATTCTAATGTGGCAGAAGGGGGCACAACATGACCACCTCAAAAGACGATCACCCATACGTGAACATATCAGCATACCATAACATGCCGCATTGTAACATAATCAAACGAGACGTGCGCGCCGATGTCACATTAGCCACGTGAGCCAACCTGCGAAGCACCGGCCGAGTGGACGATGCATCTGCGGTGACAGGCGTCACATCGGTCCGTCGAGAACAGATTATACCATACGATGCCATAACCGAGTAAAGAGTACCTTGTGACGTACCCAACCCTTTCTATACATGTGGCGATTATACTCGGGACCACTCATTGCTGACTGGTATTCTGCAGGGCCTGCAGTGCGCAAGAAGAGAATAGGAGCACTCAGCAGTGATTTCAGAAGAGCGCAGCAAAAGAGGAACGGCAAATATACAAAATGGAGACACAGGGGCGTCGAAAGAAACGCGCCCAACAAGTGAGCACAGAAGGGCGCGGCGGCGAGGTCCCGAGGTGGTCCGCGTATGACGTACCTCCGCTGGGCCTTCCAGGAGCCCACGAAAGTGGCACCAGTGGCGACAGTGGCGCAGATCGCAAGCCCCCCAGGGGGCGGCGAGGTCCCGAGGTGATCCGCGTATGACATACAGCCGTTGGGCCTCCCTGGAGCCCACGATAGTGGCGACAGTTGCGCAGGTCGCAAGCCCCCCAGGTGGCGGCGAGGTCCCGAGGTGGTCAGCGTATGACGTACCTCCGCTGGGCCTCCCAGGAGCCCACGAAAGTGGCGACAGTTGCGCAGATCGCAAGCCCCCTAGGGGGCGGCGAGGTCCTGAGGTGGTCCGCGTATGACGTACCTCCGTTGGGCCTTCCAGGAGCCCACGAAAGTGGCGACGGTTGCGCAGATCGCAAGCCCCCCCCCCAGGGGGCGGCAAGGTACCGAGGTGATCCGCGTGGGACGTACCTCCGCTGGGCCTTCCAGGAGCCCACGACAGTGGCGACAGCTGCGCTGATCGCAAGCCCTCCAAGGGGCGGCGAGGTACCGAGGTGATCCGCGTATGACGTACCTCCGTTGGGCCTCCCAGGAGCCCACGAAAGTGGCGACAGTTGCGCAGATCGCAAGCACCCCCCACGGGGTGGCGAGGTACAGAGGTGATCCGCGTATGACATACCTCCGCTTGGCCTCCCAGGAACCCACGAACATGGCGACAGTTGCGCAGATCGCAAGCCCCCCCCAGGGGGTGGCGAGGTCCCGAGGTGATCCGCGTATGACGTACCTCCGCTGGGCCTCCCATGAGCCCACGATAGTGGCGACGGTTGCGCAGATCGCAAGCCCCCCAGGGGGAGGCGAGGTCCCGAGGTGGTCAGCGTATGACGTACCTCCGTTGGGCCTCCCAGGAGCCCACGAAAGTGGCGACAGTTGCGCAGATCGCAAGCCCGCCAGGGGGCGGCGAGTTCCCGAGGTGATCCGCGTATGACGTACCTCCGTTGGGACTCCCAAGAGCCCACGAAAGTGGCGACAGTTGTGCAGATCGCAAGCCCCCCAGGGGGCGGCGAGGTACCGAGGTGGTCAGCGTATGACGTACCTCCGCTCGGCCTTCCAGGAGCCCACGAAAGTGGCGACAGTGGCGCAGATCGCAAGCCCCCCGGGGGGCGGCGAGGTAGTGAAGCGATCCACGTATGGTTTACCTCCGTTGGGCCTCCCAGGAGCCCACGAAAGTGGCGACAGTTGCGCAGATCGCAAGCCCCCCAGGGGGCGGCGAGGTACCGAGGTGATCCGCGCATGACGTACCTCCGTTGGGACACCCAGGAGCCCACGAAAGTGGCGACGGTTGCGCAGATCGCAAGCCCCCCAGGGGACGGCGAGGTATCGATATGATCCGCGCATGACGTACCCCCGTTGGGCCTCCCATGAGCCCACGAACGTGGCGACGGTTGCGCAGGTCGCAAGCCCCCCCCCAAGGGGCGGCGAGGTCGCGAGGTGGCCCGCGTATGACGTACATCCGCTGGGCCTCCCATGAGCCCACGAAAGTGGCGACAGTTGCGCAGATCGCAAGCCCGCCAGGTGGCGACGAGGTATCAAGGTGATCCGCGTGGGACCCACCTCCGCTGGGCCTCCCAGGAGCCCACGAACGTGGCGACAGTTGCGCAGATCGCAACCCCCCCCAGGGGGCGGCGAGGTACCGAGGTGGTCCGCGTATGACGTACCTCCGATGGGCCTCCCATGAGCCCACGACAGTGGCGACAGTTGCGCAGGTTGCAAGCCCCTCAGGGGGCGGCGAGGTACCGAGGTGATCCGCGCATGACGTACCTCCGCTCGGCCTCCCAGGAGCCCACGAAAGTGGCGACGGTTGCGTAGAGCGCAAGCCCCCTAGGGGGCGGCGAGGTCCCAAGGTGGTCAGCGTATGACGTCCCTCCGCTGGGCCTCCCAGGAGCCCACGAAAGTGGCGACAGTTGCGCAGATCGCAAGCCCCCCAGGGGGCGGCGAGGTACCGAGATGGTCAGCGTATGACGTACCTCCGCTGGGCTTCCCAGGCGCCCACGAAAGTGGCGACAGTTGCGCAGATCGCAAGCCCCCCAGGGGGCGGCGAGGTCCCGAGGTGATCCGCGCATGACGTACTTCCGCTGGGCATCTTGGAGCCCACGATAGTGGCGACGGTTGCGCAGATCGCAGCCCCCCCAGTGATCGCAACCCCTAGGCAAGGCCACCCAACAGACAAGACGGCGTGGGAGGAAATAGGAGCCAGATGGCAGGAGAGCACAGAAGGCAGGAGCGAGGAGGCGGGAGAAGGAGGGTGGAGATCAATTTGCTGTATACAAAACGAGACCCCAACACAGGAGGGTTGGGCATTATTCATTGCAGGTCATTTCAACACTGATCCATCAACGGCAGCATTGAAGAGGAGTAGCACGACAGAAATGACAAACGTAACATGACATGTCATGCCATATCGCTGTAGGAGGAACTGGGCATACAGTCGATATCATCATTGAAGTGAGCACTGTATAACATACCATAGCGGGAAATAACATGCCATAGCACAGTGTCACAGAGCAGCAGATCAGAGCATAGCGCACCACAGTATTGTGCGACGCTTGCGGGCACAACAGGTCATACTCAATGGAAGGCAACAGTAGTTTAAGAGGAACAGCATACTGCATGCACTATGCCGTATTGCCATATGACCAAAACGCGACGTGCGCGCCGAGGTCAGGCTGGCCAAAGGAAACAACACGCGAGGCGACGACCAAGTGGACGCCCATCTAATGTGACAGGCGTCGCGACATCACCGTCGGGAACGGAACAGGACATACGACATTATAGTATAACAGAACCTTCCTACATGAAACGCAGCTGGAAATCGTTGAATCCAGCAGCGGCAATACTTCAGAGGAAGACCGCGACATTGCAGAAACTATCGCAGCACTACAATACATTTCGTGATTTCCGTTCTTGGGCAAAACTGAAATTGAAGCATCTTCATTGAGCTGAACATCGTAGACCATTGGCACACCAGAACATGTCATAGCAATGTGTCACATAGTAGATCATACTAGATCACGCCAACGCATACTGTGGAAGAGGTGCGCATAAGAGAACACACGTCAACACCAAGTAACACAACAGTGAAAACGAATTTCTGCTCCTACTGCTGCTGTTGCTCCTCCTCTTCCTCGTTCAACAGGCTGCATATCGTCTCCGAACGAGTCCTGGGGTCTCGCAGCACGCGTTTTTTGGGGGGCTGGTGTGTCGGCCCAGTCTTTCTGTTGGCTCCTTTTGTCTGGGGCTCTGGGGCTGTTTGAAGTTAGGACTCTGGCAACTTGCGACCTGCCCCGACCGCCGCGCTGGTCGAGACCAAGGGGGCCCGCGCGCATCGTTCCATGGCGCGCGCACCGTCGGGAACAGACGCCGAAAGGGCCTGGAGAGTGCGCTGAGAGGCTCCAGGAGGCCCCCAACGACCCCAACTCATCCTAATCCCTTGCGCATGGCATATACAGGTATCTAAGCCTGTTCAAACCAACACCCAAGCGGCCCAAGACCAGCCCAAGGCAGACAAGCCCAAGATAACGCACAGGTGTCCCGAAGACTCGCGAAAGCGATTCCAAGACCCACCCCCAGAGACCCCATGATCTCCGCAGACCGCGCAAATAAGCCCCCAAGAGCATCTCATTGGCTCCTCAAGAGGCCACCCAACTGCGTCCAGAAGGCAATGCAGCGGCATGCACCGATCATGTTGTGACGCTGCGCCCTGTCCGTACTGCGCTTCAGTGTGTCCCCGAAGGATGAGGGATGAAGCCCTTTAATCACCATGCCCGTGAACAATATTATCTTCTTGCATTTCCGCGTAGTCTTGGTCGTGTTGTTTGCCATCGTGGTTGTGTTGCTGATCTTTTTGCTTGGCAGTGTGCCGGCGCCCAAACCGTACTGGGAGCATCTCGTGGTGTTCCTCAGCCTGCCCTCCCACGGGTTATGCCCGTCATCGAAAAATAATTTAAAAAAACAACCTATATTTCTTCACTTGGCTCCTTGCCCTTCTCCGTGAACATGTCGGTTCTGGTTTCAAGCAGCTTTGTCTCTCCCAGTTGGCGTGCGCGTCTGGAGCCGCGCGGCGAGGCGCCGCCACGGCCGCTCCACATGGACATCACGGCCAGCATCAGCGACGGCAGGAGCCTCTCCCAGTCCGAGTTGATCCTGCGGAGCCTCTTCTCCACGCTGCAGGTGGGCAGCACGTGCCGCGCCGGGCGTGGGATCACCGTCCAGGGCGCGTCCTTCAAGTCCGGCAGCGTGGAGAACCCACTGGTCGTGACGCTGAAGAACAGCCAGACGGAGACCGTCATGTACGTCCGCAACATCCCCATCTCTGCGGTCCTGGAGCGAGGAGGCCTTCACGATCACTGGGTTGCGGTCTACCCGCCCAGAGACCCACAGAACCTGCACTTCGACGCCGCGTCTCTGCCCAAGGAGGGCGTCCCCGCCGTGTGCATCAGCGTTTCCATCGTGGAGGACCTCTCCAGCACGGTGGTCATGCCAAGCCCAGGCCGGGGCAGCCTGCCGTTCGACCCCGCCCCGCGCGGCAGCCTGCTTCTGCAGGAGGACCTCGCCAGGGCGCGGCACCGCGTCGATGGGCTGGGCAGCGCGCCAGTGGCTGCGTCGGCCGCGATGTCGATGTCGACGGGTGACGCGTCGGCCGGGCCTGGCGGCGGCTTCCCCGGCGGTGGTTACTCCAGCTCCAGCTCGCGGGGGAACTCGCGTGGCATGTCCGGCAGGCTGTCCAGGGCGGGCTTCCAGTCCGTGGGGGAGCTGAACGACCCCGTCCAGGATGTTAACGCCAAGGCGCAGCAGATCAAGGAGAATCTCTCCAAGATGAGGAGCGCCAGCTTGCAGGCCAAGGAGTCCTCCAGTCGCCTGAGCGAGCAGCGGCGGATCGCCGAGAACCTGAAGCAGCAGCTGCACAGCCTCCAGCTGCAGGTCGCCGAGCTGCGCGCCGCGACGCAGATGCTGCAGCGCAATCGTGACGCGCTCCGCGCGGAGGAGGCGCAGCTGCTGGAGCAGGTGCAGGAGAAGGATCGCGTCTTCCAGGAGCTGCGGCGCAGCCGGGACGAGATGGACGCGGAGATCGAGAGGGCGCTGGGCGAGGGGGAGAGGCAGAGGTGGTCCCTGGAGGCCTCCTCCAGAGACTTCAGCCAGCAGCGCCGAACGATAGCGGAGGACATCGACCGGTCCCAGGCCCAGGTCTCGGCCTTGAGGTCGTCCTTGCAGAGTCGCGAGGAGGCGGCCGCGCAGCTCGAGCGGCAGATCCACCAGGATGAGGAGGAGCTCGCAGCCGAGGAGGCGGCCGAGCGGGAGCGCATGCGCAGCCTGCTCGACGAGACGCGCTCCAGCCTGGCCGCGGCCCGGTCTGACGCGGAGGAGCACAAGAGGCGCCTGCGGTCCGCTGGCGCGAGCCTCCAGGAGACGAGCATGCGCATAGACAGCGTGGAGGGCGAGGCCTCAACGCTGAGGGCCGCCGTCGAGGAGGAGGACGACGGGGGCGAGATGGTGCGCGCCACTACCACGATGGCGGCGGACCTGGACGGGAAGGTCAGGGCCCACATCGAGAAGGTCAAGCGCCTGGAGGACGAGCTGGCCAGGAACCGTGCGCAGCTTGGTAGCATGAACCAGAGCATCACGGAGCTGCACTCCGAGGCCCACGACATGCAGTTGGCGGCCATCCGCTGCGAGGACCAGCGCACCGACCTCGAGCTGCAGGCGGAGGCCAGGCGGAGGAGCGCGGCCTGGGCGGAGGAGCAGAACGAGGGGCTCGAGGCCCAGCTCCAGGAGGCCGAGGCCGAGTTGGCGCGCTCCGAGGAGGAGCTGCGGTCGCTGGAGCAGGCGGAGGCGGAGGGCAGGGACGGGCACGCGCGGGCGGCGTCGGAGCTGCAGGCGAACCTGGGGCGGCTGCGCGAGGAGCACCGCCAGGCCCGCGCGGCGGCGGACGAGCTCCAGCGCGAGTGCGAGGCCCTGGAGGCCTGCGCGAGGGACAAGCGCTCCCGGGTGGACGAGCGCGACTCCGAGATCGCCCAGGCGCAGGCGCGGGTGGAGGAGCTCACGAGGGAGCTCTCGGCTGCCGCAGCCGAGATGGCCGCAGTGGACGAGCGGGCCAAGCCATCTCGGCAGGAGCTCGCCAGGAGCCAGGCTCAGCTGGAGGCCGCCCGCAAGCGCACCAGGGAGCGACGGGAGGACCTCGCCGCGATGCGGCAGGAGGCCGAGGGCAGCGCGGAGGAGTGCTCCACGAGGCTGGCCGAGCTGGACGAGACTCGCGCGAGCGCGCGGCAGGACCTGGCGAGCGTTGGCGAGGCCGGGCGGGCCTCTGAGCATCGGCGGGCAGAGCTCCAGGGCTCTCTGGCGCAGAGCGAGGACGCCGTCGCCCGCATCCAGCAGGACATCTCGGCGCTGCAGGCCGCCAAGCAGGACGGCGAGGACCAGGTGCGCACGCTGGCGCAGCAGCGGGAGGCCGTCCACGCGGAGCTGCAGCGCGGCGCCGCGGAGCTGGCCGGGCTGGAGGAGGCGCGGAAGCAGCGGTCGACGGACTTGGAGAGCACCAAGCGCACCGCCGACGCGAAGCACCAGGAGGCGCTGGAGCTGGAGGCGCAGAGTAGGGCGGGCGTCGAGCAGATGGAGGCCGCGGCCGCCGAGCTGTCTGCCGCCCACGCGGAGCGCCAGCGCCTGGTCGGCCGGCTGGGCCAGGAGCTGGAGGAGGTGCGCGGCGCGCTGGAGCAGGAGTCGCAACGGGCCGCCTCCGAGCACCACGAGCGCGCCGCCATGGAGGCCGAGCTCGAGAGGCTCGCGTCCGAGCAGCTGAGCCTGACCGAGGCCGGGCAGGACACGCTGTCCCAGACGGAGCACGGGGTCCTCGAGGCGACGAGGATTGGCGGCGCGCACAAGTGGCCGACGCGAGCGGGGAGGGGGGCGGCCTTTGTAAGAGGGCGGGGTACTTCCCAGACGGCAGGGGCCCTCTGGAAGGCTCCCGGGTACTTCCGAGGATGCTGACCGGAAGTCGGGCGAGCCTCTGAGGAGCCACCTGCCCTCCCAGACTCCGAGCAGCCACCGGGCCACAGCCCGGGGCACCGGCGGCCGCTCGGTCGACGACTCTCGGACCCCCCCCCAGAACGCTCTGAGCGAGGCGCAGCGCACCTCCAGAGCGTCCCGAGGTGGGCACGACCCCCGAGAGCCAGCGGAGGCCCCGGGATGCGCCTGGAGAAGCTGTGGCCCCGAGGGGCGCCGCCCCCCTCGCGCTGCTGCCCCCCTTCCCCAGGCTCCCGGCGTCGCGGTCTTCTGACCGCGTGGGCGCCCGAAGGTCTGGACCACTCTCCTTGGGACTGGGTTTCATCCCGCGAGTCGTTGTTCTGACCGTGCCGGGGCCCCGCGCGGGTCCCCAGAGGCCCTGCATTGGCGAAAATATCCCGTCGCGTTTTTTTGTCATCGCGACGCGAGGAGAATGTTTTTTAACCTCTGGGCCATAGCGCGCGTTGTCCCCCCCCCCTACCGCTCCCACCCCCCCCAGAACGCGTCGCGCCCCCCCCCTCCCAGTGCGTCCAGCACCACTGGGGGTGGGGGGTGCGTTACGCGTTACGTTATGCCTTCCCCTTGCCCCCTCGCCCCCTCCCCCCCTGGTCGGGCGTGGCTAGGACGAGGATAAATCAGCTCCAGAGCGTTCTGGGACGCTCTCAGATCGTGTCGGGACGATCCGAGAAGCGCTCGAAACATCCTCCAGAGCCGCCAGATCTCAGAGACTCCCGATGCATCTCCTCACCCGATGGTGCCCTCGTCCTGGCTTCGTCCTGCCCTCCCACCCCCAGAGCGCCCGCTGTCGCCGCGAATGGCGGACTGCTCTCGAGGCGGGCCCGCGTTGGTTGTGTTGTGCGCGCCCTCCGCGAGGAGGGCCCGCGAGGCCGGGAGGCGCAGGGACGAGGTGGCCCAGTGCCTGCAGGAGGCGCAGGGGCGCCGGGAGGCGCTGGGCTCCAGGGCGGCCCTGGCCCGCTCGGAGGCCGAGGGCGAGGCTGAGAGGAGGAGAAGCTACGGCCGAGCGCATGATTGAGACACCTCCTGCCGAAGAGTTGGGCCAGCGTCGCTTGGCCAACTTGCGGGGAAGCTGGTCCCGCTTCTTGAGCACGTTCGCCCCTGCAGCACTGCGTCCTTCACCAGAAGAGCTGGCCCGGATGTCTTCATTCATGGCTGTCTTAATCATAGTCTCGGCTGTACCCATACCGCTGCCCTTCCGTCGTTTTCGCCTTTTTGGGCCTCCTGGGAGGCCCTCGTCGCCACCGCTGGATGTCCCTCGGAACCCTGGTCAGAACGCACCCCAGGAGAGGTCTGGGTAGTAGCGGCATCGGTACCTGTTGGCTTCCCCAAAGGCCCGGCGGGCGGGCGAGGCCGAGGCGTCGGGCTCGTTTCGTCTCTTCCAGCGCTGTTCGATTTAGATTCCGCTTCGACTCCACTCCCGATGTCCGTCGATGCCGCTGCCGATGTTCGATTTGATTTCGGGTTCCTATCTGGATATGTGGATCTCGGCGTCGCAGCGGAGGCCTTACTGGCCTGCCGATTTCTGCCGATACGGCTTCTCCCGACCTGGCTGCCGACCTCCGCCGATCCGATTCACTTCGACCTTTGATCCGACTTATCGATTCGATGTTGGCCTCTCCCGGAGGCGGAGCTGGAGGCGCGGCGGCGCGCTCTGGAGGCGCTGCGGCGCGAGCTGGAGCTGGCGGGCGAGGAGGCCGCGGCGCTGGAGGCGCGCCACGCGGACGGCGAGGCTCAGAGGAGGGAACAGGTACCGACACCGCTGCACGTCGTGGCGAGCTCTCGTCGCCACGATTGTCCTCGAAGTTCTGGGCAGAACGCACCCCAGGAGAGGTCTGGGGAGTTCTTGCCTGAGCAGGCCCTTGCTAAGCTTGAGAAGGCTTTAGAAGAGCAGGCCAGCGCGTCACAATGGTTTAACGAACATGGCTTGGCATACCTTAGCTTTCGTCACGCATCTTGACGTTAGTTGAGCTGCTTAGCTAAAGTTGTCGAATGGCCTTCGGCCCGTCCCGCCACCGAGCCTGGGTTGTGGGTCTGAGTTTTCAGGTATGCTTCGTGGGGTCTCTTCGGAGCGCTCTCGGGGGCCTCTGGGGGGCAGTTTAGGGGGTCTTTTGGAAGCCTCTTGAGGGCTTCTTGGGAGGAGAGCCCCTTGGGAGCCTCTTGGAGGCATCTCAGGAGACAGCCTGATTCACCCGACCGCGATTCACCCGCTCCGGTTCACCAGACCCTCGGTCTGGGTGACTCGCGACCGGGTGAGTTAAGCACCGGGTGACATCAGTTGGGTGAGTTAAGCGCCGAGAGAGTTAGTCCGGATGAGATGCGCAGCGTGTGAGTTAGGCCGGTTGAGTTAATCACCGGGTGAGTTGGGGACAATTGAGTTCATAACCAGGTGAGTTAGGCACGGGATGAGCGAAGCACCAGGTCAGTTAAGCAGCGGGTGCGGTAGGTTTTGGGGAGATGTATCGTTGGCTGAGGTAGGCACCAGGTGAGGCACCAGGTGAGTCAGGTACCGGGTGAGTTAGGCGCCGGGTGAGTTAGGCACTGGGTGAGTCAGGCATGGGGAGTGTCAGGCACCGGTAGAGTCAGGCACCAGGTGAGTTAGGCACCGGGTGAGCTAGGCTCCCAGGGAGTCAGGTACCGGGCCTTGATGCGGTTGCAGATCGCGCAGGCAATTGACGGAGCTGCAGCTTAGCCCGACGGTTACGGGCACCATGCCGGGAGGGGGCGATAGGCGAGCAGTAGCTCGCCCCGCTAGGGTTGCAGCTCGTGTCATTGTCAGTCTGCAATCCACAATGTCATCTGCAGCCCTCTTCTTCCCCATGCTCTTTGCAACCCTCATTCCCATCTGTTCACTCCTCACTCCGCGAGGATGATCCGCTCGAATAATCTCCATTCGCAACCCAAGCTGGTTGGTACCTTACTAGCTATGTCGCATATTGCATGGCTACAGTACTCATTTAATAAACAAACGCGTGAGCAAGTATATCAAACGAGAAATTGTCATTGTTAGTAGTGCCCTGTGCGATCGCAACACATGCAAAACAAAAATCAGTGTACCAGCAGCATCGGGTCATCACCGCTTAGCACACTATAGCAGGTTACATGTAAACCGTAGACAACGCACAGTCAAAGCTGTGGAAATGTGGACCGGCACGCTGTCAAATCGCTGTTCGGTCACAGGGTGCGTTGCCAACATCTGCCAACGCAATGGTACCTTCAAGGGTGCACTGTCGAAGCGCTATTATGTTACACTTTACGTATACATTGTGTACGGAGCACATTTGGACAAACATAGCAACACGGAATTTGGCAACCATGGCATTTCAAAAGAGCACTGGGTATATACAACATGTGATCAGCATGTTCAATACACAAGACACATCTCGCACTGCGCATGTATGGCTAACGCCCGCCATATCTTCAAATGGAACAAAGAGAAACACATGCGCGCAACGGTTACCAACGACACTCATACATCTATACACATGTCTACATGCATATAATAACTGCTGGTACGGTGCGAACAGCACGACACACGCATGATGTAACACAACATGTTGGCAGGCACCCGTTCCAGATTATAGGTTTGACAACCGATGCCAAAGCAATGTAAACTACATTGAAGCAGGCTTGTGCATGTCAAGCTAATGCTACATCACATTGAGCCTGTTAAGCTGCACTTCGGTTTTAAGACAGCCCACCTGTATCATCACTTCAAGCTGGTTTACCTGTTATAGCTGTTTAGCTACGCTTCTCAACTTTATTGATATTGTGTACCTTCTGGACGCGCGTGTACCTAAATTAGTTAGCTTTCCCTGGCTTTCTTTACACACGCGAAACCCGTAGTATATGAAAGTTTTAAAATCTTATAGCGGGGTACAGCCTGGCTAAAGCAGCGTACCCCTATTAGTAACAGTCCACAGTCCAGTCTCGATTCGAGTACAGTGGTTTGAAGTTTTTCGGCTTGTTAGCTGAATCAGTAACAGGGCCTGCTCAAGCAAGTAGCGGTATCTGGGTACCCTTTTGTGCCCCCCCCAGAGGAAGAGCTCGCCGGCTCGCGCGCGCAGGTGCAGGCGGTGGAGCACGCGCACTCGGAGCTGGAGGAACTGCAGCGCCGCCACGCCGCGCTGGTGGCCGAGGAGCGTGCGGAGGAGGAGGCGCAGGCCGAGGCGCTGGCGGAGCGCGAGAGGCGGGCGGCGGCCTCGCGCGAGGAGCTGGAGCGCACGCGGCAGGGCCTCCTGCGGCAGAAGGAGGGGGACATCGGCAGGCAGGCTATGCAGATCGGGAAGCTCGAGGAGGAGCGGCGCAGCCTGCTGGCCCAGGCCCAGCGCTCGGAGGAGGAGAGGCAGGAGCTCGAGAGGGGGCTCCGCGCCCGCACGGAGGCCCGCCAGGACGTCCTCGCCGACACGCGGCGGAAGGCGACGCACTGCGACGAGCTCGAGTCCACGGTGAGCGACATCAAGGCTGCCTCAGCGCAGCTGAAGGAGACGGAGGCGAAGATGGAGCAGAGGCTGAAGCACCTGCGCGAGCGCGAGGAACTCCTGCGTCAGGAGTCGCAGGAGCGCGAGGGGCGAGTGCGGGAAGTCCAGCTGGAGATGGAGGAGTCGGACCGCCAGGCCGCCGCTCAGGTGGCGGAGCATCGGGAGCAGATGAAGCAGCACATCCAGTCCAAGGCGAGTCACGAGAGGGAGGTCTCAGCAGTGTGCAACCGATTCATATCTCCATTCCCATCCTCACCCCCACCATCCCACCACCCCAGTTGGGAATATACCTTTCGAAACCCAGAGGAAACAGCCTATATCCCCATCTAGGATGGTTAATCAGCCAATGGGGCCCACGCCAGGCCAGTGGGCATGGGGCTGGGACGAGGATAAATCCGTTCCAAAGCGTTCCCGAACGCTCTCACAGCGTTCCCGAACACTCTGAGAGGACCGCGGCGCCGTAGACATCCTCCAGAGCCACCGGATCTCAGAGATTCTCGCTTGATTCTCACTTGTTGTTATCTTCGTCCTGGCTTCGACTTAGATCGGGATCGGTAGAACGACTCTCGAGGTCGAGGAGCTGAAGCGCAGGCTGGCGGACGCCACCGACGGGGTTGCGGCGCTCGTGCGCGACAGCGGCCTCGCCGACGGAAGGGCCGATGAGCTGGAGGGCTTGCTCGGCAGGGCGCGGACGGAGCTCCAGGAGGCGCTGGCCGAGCGCGACGCGAAGCGGCGGGCGGTGCAGGCGCAGGCGGCGAAGATGGCCGCGCGCTCCGGCGCGCACGGCCCAGGCGACGTCAGCCTCGAGGTTGGCAGGGCGGCGTCCGCGGTGCGCGACCTGGAGGAGCGCCTGCAGGCCCTCAGCAGCCGCCTGGTGGGTGCCCAGGAGGAGGTGCGGCAGGGGCACGCCAGAGAGGAGGAGCTGAGGGTGGACTACCAGAACGCCAAAGAGGCCCTGAAGTGTGCGGAGGACAAGATGTCGTATCAGATGGAGCACGACAGGATCCAGCGCGACACCATTCAGAGCATGCTGGAGCAGAAGGCGAAGTCTGACCAGGAGATTGAGGTGTTTGTGATGGGAATCCACGATGCGGAGCAGCGCAACGCGGAGCTTCAGCAGGCCAACGCAGCGCTGCAGAGGCAGGTGGAGGAGCTGTACAAGGGCTCCCTGCAGGACTGGGCTGAGCAGGTGACCCAGGAGCTCGAAGACAAAAACCAGAACACACAAATTGCAGGCGCTCCGAGCGGCTTTCTCGGATCGGCGCTGGGTCCCCCTTGCGGCGCCTGGCGCCGCCCTTGGCGCACTCCGCGCGCCAGGGAGGGGGTCCAGCGCGGATCCAAGGAATCCGCGCGGAGCTCCAGGAGTTCAGGTTTCTGCCGCTTCTTGCCTCTCTGCCAGGAACTGGGCACGTCTCCGGAGGCGATCCGCGTCAGGGACGAGATCGAGGCCTGGAAAGAGCGCGCGGAGCAGCTCCGGAAGGACAGGGCGGCCGAGCTGGGCAGGCTTCACAGGGAGCACGAGGAGGCTGTGCGGCGGCTGCGCGAGCGAGTTGCCGTGGCCCAGGCCGAGCTGGACAGCGCCGATCGAGCGGCCCAGAGGCGTGAGGCCGCGCTGGCCAAGCGACGAGAGCACGGCGAGGCATCGAAGCAGCAACCACAACTGTCATGCAAGATTTTCGCAGGTTCGCGCGGACTTCGTTGGTCGGTGCTCCTGTCCCTGGCGTGCGAAGCGCGCCAGGGAGGAGGCGTCCAGCGCCAACTCAAGAGCGCCGCGCGGGCCTCCGAAAGTTTATGCTTGTGGCCCTTCCGTATTTCTCAGGCAGTCATGGCTCCAGGAGGCGTGCCTGGCCTTACGGTGCCGCAGCGTTTGCTGCCCCGCGGCCACCAGAGAAGAAAGGCCCTCCTGATCGGCATCAACTACCCACAGTCTCACGCTCCGCTCAAGGGCTGCGTCAACGACGTGTGGCACCTTCACTGCCTGCTGCGGTACACGCTGCAGTACAGCGAAGATCAGATGCGGATGCTAGTGGACACGGACGCGAACGCTGCTTCGAGACCCGAAAAGGCGCCCACCAAAGCGAATATCCTCGAGGGCATTCAGTGGCTCACGGTCGGTGCGCAGCCGGGGGACAATTTGCTGCTCGTCTTTTGCGGCTACAGCACGCAGCATCCGACGATCCCGGGCTCGGACTTGTGCGAGGGTTACCTCGTGCCCGCGGACTTCGCGGCGGACCTGCCATCTGGCTTCCTCAGTTCAAACAGCGCCGCGCCCTCCAGAAGTACTATGACACAGGACCTGAACCTCGCGTTGCCCGTTCTCGAGCGGAGCTTCGTGCCCTCCTCCACGGGCGGCCTGACGCCGAGAGATGCTGGCGCTGGCTACCGGCTCGTGTCGCTCCTCGAGCTCAACGCGTTCATCTGCAGGTTGCCCAAAATATGTCGCATGTCGGTGGTGCTGGACTGTTGCTACGGGGGCGTGCCCAATGTCAACCCCGTTAGCGGGCTGCAGCCCAGATTTCCCAGGGTGTCTCGAGGCAGAGTGGACCATGTCAAGCTTCGGGACTTCATCAGCAGACCTCGATTCCTGGAGCTGCCCTTCGTGCATGCGCAGCACACGCCGGGGCACCTGCTGAACGCACCTCCGCAGTACCCAGCGTGTTGGGTCCACGTATTCGCAGGCTGCGAGCTGAGCCAGTGGTGCGCAGAGTTCCCCATCGAAGGCACCGTGCAAGGTGCGTTCAGCTGGGCCTTCATGAAGGCGCTGGCGCAGGGCCACTTCCATTGTGGCCTATACCAGTTCCAGCAGATGCTGGCCCAGACGCTGGCCAGCCTGAAGTCTCACTTCTCAGGGATCGACATGACACCAGTGCTGCAGCTCTCAGCCGCCGCCAGCATGCAGGACGTCGTGCTCTGGACGTGAGTCGGCCGAAGGCCCCACGCATGTAGCGCGTCATGAAACAGAAGCTGTTTCACTTTAGCTAGCACGTGAGCTCGACGCAAGAGGCTGTCTCGGGGACTTGGCCGTCTGGGGCACTGCCACTCAATCCCCTGTCGCCTCAGAGCAGTACCTCTCCTGCTTTTCCTCCTCTTCTTCCTCCCTCTTCCCAGACCCTTGACGACTCGACTTGTTCGAGTCTCCAGCCCCCAGATCTCTCGACTCTTTGCACGAGCTGCTTTTTATCCTAAGCGTTGCTGCTTATTTCCTACTCCCCCGTCCTGCCTGCTCCCTTCCCCCTCTTTCCTCCTACCTCCTAATACTGCCTCTTCGCTCCTTATGTATCCCTTCCTCTTTCATCCCGCCACCTATCTCGAATCCACGGGCGCGGCCAATCGCGCAACTGTCAGCATTGATCGTCTGGAGCTCCAGTGCGGTCCAGTGGATTGCAGTTCTTCCCATATCCGAATTATTTAGAAGGTTTCGCGTAACCTCACAAGCAGGCAGGAAGGGAAAGAGAGAGCCCCGCCGCGGAGGACAAAGTCAGGGCCTGAGGAAGATGGCTGGTGAAGGAGGGTAGAGCGCACGGGCTTAGACCCCCCGCTCCCGAAGAAAGGGCGGGTGCCGTGGGCCTAGCCGGCTACTACCGGGGTCTCGGAATACGCGATAGGGCCCTCTACGACGCGGTCGGCATACACTTTGACCCCCGGTGCTTGCAGCGCAGGGTCGTCACTGCGCTACGAGCCTGGAGCGTTGGGCGCCCCACGGACGTGACCTGCACACCTGCCCCCACAGGCGGTCAGATTGCGCAGGGATGAGGAGCCGCGAGAACGTTCGCAGGAGGGCAGTGTCCATGGGCACCACTCAGGGATTGCACCCTCCCGGACGACCTCGCGGAGCAGCTCCTCCGAGAGGAAGGGCTCTTTCCCAGGCCGGCGCGCCCCTAGATTCCAATGAGGGCCCCAGAACGCTCCACCAGGCGCTGGGGTCCCCGCCCAGGCACCTACCCGTGCCTGGGCTGCGCACTCAGGCTTGGCAAGACGCCCGTCGCGCCCTCAATGCAGTACTCGAAACCCGCTGTCAGTACAAAATCCGCGGGCCGAGAGGCCTGTGGGGCCTCCTCCACGCCAACCCCTGGAGCCTCCCCACCTGGGGCTCCATGTGCGGCGCCCTCACTCTTGACGACTTGCTACGCGCGTTCAACGCCACCCCAGCGTGCAGCCTCCCCAGGCTTGCCAGCTGGAATGTCAGATACCTCCGGAGCTGCACAGCGGCCAAGAATCGGATCAAACACGCCCTTCTCACTCAAGTCACCATGAAAAATCGCATCGCCTTGGTACAAGAGACACACTGGTCAGAGCACGAGACCGAGGTCTGGAGAACGATGTTTCCTGCGCGAGCTCTGGTGGCCTCACCAGGCTACCTGGGACCGACTGGTGGACTTGCTGGAGGGGTGGGTATTCTCCTCCCCCATGGCGTGGCGCTCCTCGAGCACCAGGTCATGGTTCCAGGATGCGCCGTCGCGGCTGTTGTCCAGCAGGGCGAGAACAGGTTCCGCGTTGTTTCGGTCTACCTCCCACCCTCCAGGAAAGAAGACACCCTCTCCGAAATCGCCATAGCCTCAGAGCAGTGGGAGAACCTTGACACCTACTGGGGAGGGGATATCAACCTGCAGCTTGACGAACCGCGAGACGGTGAGGTCGAGGCTGCCGCCCTCCTGAGGAACCTACTTACAAGCACCGGCTCCACAGCTGTCCACTCGCCCGGGCCCACAAGGATCGACAGAGAAAGCGAATCCCAGATCGACATGCTAGCCTGCCCAGTTCGGCAGACCTACGCGTACGAGGTGCGGAAGCTCTGGAGACTCACCCTGTCGGACCACGCACTCAGCAGCATTGACTCGCAAGGGGCCAGGAGGGCCAGGAGGGCCAGAAGGGACAACACCATGAAAGCGGGGGACCTCAGGAATCCCCCCACGGCGGCACACGCGGACCTCCGGCAGCTCCTTTTCCACCTTGAGCTCACCTTTGGTGCCCCCCCCGTCAGCTTCACTGGCCTCCTCCAGCCAGAGGATTGGGTTAGACCGGCCAACCCGGGGGGCTTCCCCGACAGGCACGTCGATGACGACGACGGCGACATCATCCTTCACAACCCCCCCCCAACGCAACAAAACGCTGGGGCGGGGGAACATAGCACCGATCACACTCCTCCCGTCCTCCCCGCCCTGATGAGGTTTGGGAGGCACGCTCTCTCCGCCGCCCTTCAAGATTGGTGGAGGAAATGGAGGAAACACAAATCACGTGCCCCGCCGGGCCTCCTCCTGGCGGCCGCCAGTCAGAGGAGCGGGGTTACGCGACCGGTGGGAGCCCTTGCTGCGTGGTTGTGCGAATACGGGTGGGACGGACAAGACCTTTCCCCCGGCTCAGCGGCCGAGTGGCTCAGAAGATGGGGCGCCGAGGCCACCCAGAGAAGGGCTGCCAGGCTGACCCCGGCACAGAGAGGTCCCGGCGCAGAGCGCTCCCCCCTGGCGGCCCATTACAGAACAGAAAGGGAGATCTATAAAAAGACCCACGCCATCCTAGGGGTCCGCGACCGGGCTGGCACCTGGCAGGACAGGCCTGAGCAGGTGGACGACGCGCTCTGGGACAGCCGCAGACTCCTCCAGAAGGCTCCTGGAACTCTACTTCCATCACCATCCCGGCATTGACGTCTCCAACAGACCCCGGCCAAGCTGGAGCAGGCTTGCCTCCATTGTCCTAACCCCCAGCGGAAGCGCCCCCGGGGTGGACGGCGAACCCTATGAGGCCTACCACCCAGGGGCCAGATTCGTCGCATGCCTCATCGCGCAGGCGTGGCACGCTGCTGACCTCAACCCAGCACTCCTGGATGAGGTACTAGGGCCCTCAGTCGACCTGCTGGTCTGGATCGGGAAGAAAGCCGGGGCCGAGAGCCCCAGCGACATGAGGCCTCTTCAGCTGCCCACTTGCCTACGACGTTTGTACGGAGCCTCCCTGGCGGACTTGATGGGCCCATTGGTTGAACCTCTCCTTAGCCCAAACCAGGCGGCCAAGAGAGCGGGGCAGCGCGGCCCCAACATCACAAAAGTCACCCAGCACTTGGGTTCTCTCCCCAAGCCCCCAGCTGAGCCCGGACTGGCCTGGCTGGCTCTATTGGGAAGGCACAGGGAGGCCGTCGACGAGTTCGTCGACCGCGCCGCCACCGCGGTTGGGAACGCCCCATGCACGGCAGTAATATTTTGTGACCAGAGTAAGGCCTTTGAAAGGATCTCGCTCCAATGGGTGGGGAGCCTCCTGCAAAGCTGGAGGCTCCCTCCTTGGCCCCGACACGCCCTGAACTCCCTTGTCGGGGATCGCAGGGCACAGAGGTGCAAGGGCAGGTACAAGGGGCCCGAACACCGCCTCTTACGGTCCGTCGGGATGGTTGGTGCTGCCTCCCCGCTCCTGTGGCGCATGGGATACGACCCCCTCATTACCGCCCTCGCCGGCATCACTGCAGACAACGACCCCACTTACGTGGGTGACCTCGCAGCCCTGCTCAGCACCACGAAGCAAACATTGCGCGCAGCCATCGCCCTCCCCTGGGCCGCCCACGCGGCTGGGCTCCTGGTAGAAGCACACCGGTGTAGAGGGATCAGGGCCGCCGACTCCGTGGCTCTCAGGGCAGCACTTGAAGAGGCGCCGGCTCACTACGAACAGGACGGCGGCGACGTCCTGATCTCTGGACTCCTAGGCGATCTCATTCGGACCCTCGTCGAGAGGAGCACGGAGCAAAGCCCGCCCGACTGGTGCGCTCCATGTCAACGTCCCTGTAGCTGCTTCTTCAAGACGGCGCTCGCCCCTGCGGGCCATCATGAATGGTGGCGCGGCCTCACGGACCACGCCCCCTTCGGGGGCTCCGCGGTGCGGGATCAAGGGCCATGCCTCGGTGCGGTGGTAGTCTCCTGTGCCGCCGAAGGCGAGCTGCCCCCCCCCCAGACGAGGGGCTCGCCAAGGGTCAGGGAGACGCCCTGACAAAGGGCACCTGGGATCGACCCCATCCCCAAGATGAGGGATAGAGCCATGGCCCTCCACCCGGCCAAAATGTCTCCCTCCCGCGCAGCGGCTGCCTGGAACTCCCACCTCGTTTCCCTCGTCCCGTGGGCGGCTCGCTACTCCCCCCCCCGACGGCTTGCAAGAGCGCGCGCTCCGTGTTCAACTCAGAACCGCACTTGGGTTGGCAGGTGCGTCGTGGGTTATCGTGCTTACCGGGCTGGGTTTACGCTTCCAAGTGCAGGGTGACCCGAGGTGCCCTGCGGCAGCAGCCCGCGCCGTGGCAGCCAGAGCGCACGCCCTCAACGACTTTTGGGGCCCTGCTCCTATGAGGAAGCGCGCCAGGATAAGATGGAACAAGCTGCTCAAATGGGCAAGCGAGGCAGCGCGACAGCCCGAGGTGCCACGTCCCAGGCCCAAGATGATCGCTGGGCGGAAAGCTGCCCTTGCGCTCAACCGCACACGCGAGCAACCGGTGCTCCTGCAATGCAGGCACCTCGGCGGGGTCGTATACGCGGCCGCCTGGGCGCAAATGTACAACGCTACCTTCTCCAGATGGCTCGCGGACACCGGCCAGGATAGGAGATGGCACCCCTCGGGTGGGGAGGGGCGGGGGCTCCTGTGCCACTGCACATCCTTCACTGAAGCGCACCACGTCCTCCGCAGTCTCTGCAGCGGCCTTCCCGGCTCAGCAAGGCGAAGAAGTGTAAACGAAAGGGGACCCCACATGTGCTCCTGCGGCGCGCGCGCCAAGAGCGTGTGGATCACAGCCAGTCATGATGTCGACGGCGCCGCCTGGTGTGCGCGGTGCGTCGGCTCAGGCCCACGCGCCTCGGCACTCTGGCACGCGTTAGACCCCTGCGTCCTGCCCCCCGCTCTACGGGGCCCCGCGGAGGCGTGCGCACGCTGCCGGGGCCTCCTGCACCCCCCTGTCAGCGCGGGGCCGCGCGGCTGCTGCCCCCTCTGCGGGCTGGGTGAGGCGACCGCCGAACACGTGTGGCACTGGCGCCCGGCCGCAGCACTCGCCGGGAACACAGCTAGGGGCCCTGGCGACCCAGACACCCTGGCCCACGCCATCGCCAGCGACGGCAAACATCAGCCCCTCCTCGCCAAG